ATCGCAGCTGAGGCAGATGGGAGCTGGGCATAATCCCTATTCTTAGAATTTCTAATCTGACAAGGCTAATGCGATCATCGCCTCCTAGACTTCTCAGAAAACACGGCCCTCTTAGCCCCCGGGAAACCAGCTAAGCTGCCCCGAGGGGCACGATCGCTTAAGGGATCTGTGCATAAGGGAGACAGCAGAGCGCAGGGGCGCCGCACACTCGCTCTGGCCCTTGTCCATTCAGGCCGGTTCAAAGCCTCGTGCTTGAGCGCCCGGTGCGTGGGGCTGAGAGGAAGTGCAGAACATTGCTTGAGGCCCCTGCACGCCCTTCAGGGTAAATGTATTATGTTACGGAGGGGAAATTCATCTGACATGAACTTAACCATCGAAGGGGAATAATTCAGGGACATTAAGCACATTCACAGGGTGTGCACCACCAGTTCAATCTGGTTCTAGAACATTCCATCCCCCCAAAAGGAGAGGCCGTCCCCCAAGACCACTGATTCCACTTTGCTCCCTGCAGTTCTGGGCAACCGCTAATCTATTCCCCACTTCTTTAGACTGAACTAAACTGGGTATTTTGTAGACATGGAATCGTACAGCGTGTGGCCTTTTGTGTCCGGCTTCCTTCATTTTGGGGGTTTGGCTAGAGATGGAGCCCTCGTTTACATTGTTTCCCAGCTGGCAGACGGCCGCATCTGCCGAATCCAGGGGGACCTGCTCCCTCAGTGATGGGCTTGGCCAGGACTCGGCCACACTGTGGGGTGTGTGTGGTGGGCCCTGCATTCCTTTTTCATGGTCCAATAACGTTTCATCACAGGGACACATGTGGATGCGTTTGGAATGCAGCCGTTCCTGTCCTAAAATTGTAGATGCTACCACGTGGAGACATGTTAAATGATAGCCACAAATTGCATCGGGTGTCACATTAAATAATGTCCACATGATGTAACTTATAATAAAAGGGGAGGCACATCAAATGTGTCAATTCTCGCAGGTGTGAAGCAGGAAGATGCTTGGCCCTGTATGACGGATGCCCAAGAGAGTGCCGGCGGCCAACGGAGGCTGCCCCAAGCATGCTGCGCTGGGAACCCAAATGCCAGGAGCGTGGTTTGCATACCCGTAAATGGAGGATAATTGAACCAAGGATCATATTCTATCAGTGCAGTGGCTGCCTGCCTGGGAAATTCAATCCCTTGTGTTTATGTGGACACAGAGTTACGTTTAGACTTGGGTTAATTATAAATAGGATATTCACCTGCACGGACATCAGAGCTGACACTGAGAAGTCACGTGGACGGTGGGAACATTCTACGCTGGGTAGGCCTGTCCTGCTCCTGTGACAAGTCTCCCACGCTGGCCTCCCCCTCTTACATGCCCCAGGTAAGTCCATTCGGTGTGCAGTTCCCCCGCTTTGCATGCATTCCTGTCGAAAACCCGTGGGGCCGCTGGAAGGGCAGCCACATTAACAGGTACACTTGACCTGATTTAGACCAAGCCCCAAATGGCAGCTGAGTCCCAAAGAAAGGATGCTTCACAGCCTTAAAACCCTTGCAAATCCATCCTCTCCTCTGCGTCTTACAGCCACACAAAGACCCACTGAACAGAACAGGACATCCCTTGCCCACGTTAGGCAGTCGGCAACAGACATCTCCCGGTGTGTATGTGCATCAAAACATCATGTCAAACACCTTCAGCCACATACGATTTTTTGTCACCACCCTCAATAAAGCCAGAAAAATAAAGTGAGTATTTCTCCCTAAAACAATGATCCCCCTCCGTTACCATGCTATGTTTTTTTTGCAGGATGTTTTGAATAATAAGAGTTTTTCCCTGCACCCCACACAGGGGCTCCTGGTAGACCAGACATGGGCAGAGTCCTTGAAGGTCAATACATGTAGTTCTGGGTGAATCAGACCCAACACGCTTTTTGAATGCATTCCTGGACCCATGAGAATAAAATTATTTTAAATTCTGTATATGCAGGAATTCAAAAATGCCTTTTTAAGTAACCCATAAACTCATCCGGAGGGGACGATGAGCAATGGGTGGGTATGTATCTATGAGAGGAACGCCAAGGAATGGGGAGAAATCAGTCACATAGTAGGCGCTGGTCAGAAATGTAAAAAATAAATGGCACGCTTCAGGTCAGGGAGCTAGACAATACAACCCAGAATGAAGAGAAAGACCTGTTAGGAAAGATTAGAGGGAAAAGATGGCCGTTATTGATAGAAGCAAAAGTGGTTAAGTTAGCAATAAACGCAAAGATTGGTCAAGGTCCATTCCTGGACCAAGAAGGGGCTTCGTTGAAGAGCCCCAGAGACTCGGGAGTCCACCAGCTTTTTACAACACAGACATGCTCCCCTTCTGCCCCTCAGGGCGACATGCTGGAATCCAGGACGCATTTGCATTGTAGTAAATGAGCTACTGAGTTTAAGCCCAATGTCAAGGATACCGGTACCCAGACTTGAGCAAATATGACTCCAAGTAGCTTCTCCTCTTAAATGACAAATTAGATGAGTGCACAGTGTGGATATAAAACCAACACGGCATCTATTTATCCCTGAGCATCCCTCAGACATGATGCATAGGTCTCGCGCTCCTCTCTGCAAACCCGGACACAGAAGGTGCATTTTAGGATCACCCCTCAATAGAGGAGGAATCGGGAAGACAGAGACCCAAAGGCTTACAGACGGCACCCCATGCAAGACTCGACTTTTCCGAATGCTCAGCCTCAATGGGAAATGGGCACAGGGTATCCTCCACCATCGCCACCTGTAGGTCAACCCAAGAAGCGTCCCCAATCCAGCCTCCCCGCCTGTCCCACCCTGGATGGAGCCCAGGGCACCTTGGAGGGCTCCATCCCCGGCAGCCAGCATGAGGTGCACATTCCACCTGTTCATGACAGACGCCCCCCAAGTCCAGTGCACATCTGAACAGAGGGAGCTGAGCCCGTTGTGTCCCATGCAGAATGAATGAATGGTGCAGCCCCTCCCACGGCTGAGCCAGAACCCAACTCCTGCTACACGGACGGAACAAGAGAGCAAGTTGACTGAGAAACGTGAGCATCGTGGGTCCGACTACTGAACCGAGTGTCACCCGGGGATGTAAAGTCATCCATTCTGGTGCACACAGACCCCCTCCTGGCTCCCCTAACATTGGGGACAGCCTCCCAACCAGGGCCCGCCATCCGCCAGTGCACCTTCACTCACCCCGCGGTCCACAGTTTCTCCAGGTGTTGGGAAGTGACTCCGAGCTCCCAGGAACTTCAGGATGAGGTGCTTGGGGCACCTGTGAACGTCCCCAGAACCATGTTCTTTCTCTCCTGGGGAGGTACGGAGGCATAAGGGTCTTGTGTAATGAAGAGGAGCAATGTGGGGCCAACGCCCTCCAAGGTTCATGCCGTTTCTCAGCTGTACTTGGAAAATACCCTGGGGAGGATGACACACATAGCTGGCACTTGTGTACAATGACCTGGAGCTGTCACAGGCTCTTTGATGACATGTACGCTCCCCAAAGTGGGCATCTTCCTAGAATCCAACATTCTGCGTTTGGGTGCATGGTCCTGGCTGTTCAGAAATATTAAGACAGGGCACGTCTCCAACTGGATTCATGTAGGAAGGGATTCTGTTTCCAAGCACCGTAGTCTGGGCTGTTGGGGTTAGCAGGACACCTGAGCGTTTTGGGGGAGGTCCCAGCGCCCAGGATGGAAGCTACACTCCAAACGGTCTTGCTCGGGGGGTCTTGAATGTGGTTGAAGGAGTGCTAAGTAAACGCTGATGTTCAGAGGAATTCACTCGGGTTCTGTTGATGGGGGCGGGCATCATTTTCAGAGGTTGTCCCCCGCTGTACCACTGCACACATCTAGGAACAACCAAGTGGCCACGTATAAAGCATGTGTCTCATAACAAAGTGCCACTTGGCTTAAAAACCACAAGATTCATCCCCCCCCCCTCCAGCTCTGGAGACCAGAAGTCTGAGGTCCAGGCAGGCTCCAGGGGAGGCTCCTTCCTGCCTCTGCCAGCTTCTAGGGGCTCCAGGTGGCCCTGGGTGTGTGTGGCCTATCCCTCCCGTCTCTGCCTCCATGGTCACATGACCTCCTCCCACTCTGTAATCAAATCTTCTTCTGCCTGTATCTGATAAGAAAACCTGTGATTACAATAGGCTTAGCTCACCGAATATGCCCTGAGGGTGTCCTCACCTTAAGATCTTAATTCTACTTGCAAAGATTCTTCTTTTCAATACAACCACACGGACAGGTTCTGGGGTTGGCATGTGTACCTATCTTTTTAGGGGGTCACGATTCAACCCTTACTGAGCCCACGGAATGAAGCCCAAGGACCCGCCACCCTCTGCCCCTTCCCGTACGCAGAGCCAGCTTTCACGTCCGTGGTGGAGAAGCCCCCGTACCTGCATATGGGGGGTGGCGGGGGTCCCAGGTCCCAGAGGACATGTCTCCTTGGGTGCACCGTGATGGCGTGTGACCAGCACACAGTGGGACGGCATTTGCACCGATACGTGAATGACTATTCTAGCGTCACAGCTGAAGCACAAGCTGGCCCTCTAGGAGAGGATACGGGGCTACAAAGAGGCCATCAGGATGGGGCGCAGCCCAGAGGGGGTGGAAACTGCACAGTGGGTGGACAGTAAGGCCCCATTTCTTTGCCCCCCCTGCCCCGAGCCAACAGAGACTGGTATCCAGACCCTTCCCTCATCCCTGATGCACAGAGCCCCCCAGTGTGTCTCACCATATGATCTGCATGGCTCCTTGGCTGGAGGTCACGACCCCCGGTGGACGGGGACCGTCTCCAGAGAGTGGAGTAGAAGGATGGGGGGTCCCACGAGCCTCGATCCAACAGACAGCTCGTGTCTCTCCATTTCTGGGACCCAAGTCAACGCCAAAGACGGACAAAGGCCTGAGGACCCTCCCGGCCAGCCGTGCCCTGACTGCACCACACTCCCCTGCAGGCGCTCGCCTTACAGAAACGCAGCGACCGAAGCCTGCTCTGTTCTAGGCAGAAAATGAGCACACGTGCGTGGCAGGGTTTAATTATTGATGCACCTGTAACAATTTGACACTTTGGGATCAAGGATGCACAGCTGAGAACCACCTGCGGGGTTACAAGCAACGTTTCTCTCACTCCCTGACTCCCTGCCCCAGGCAGGGCGGCCAACAGGAGACTCTGAAAATGCACACACGGGATCCTTCACGGACTGGGTTTTGGGGGGGCTGAAGGCATTGCCTTCCTGACGCAGCAGCTACGCCTAGTCGGCGTCCCCGCTCCCATCCGGGATGCCGGTCATCTGGCAGCTTCTGGCCCACAGCTGTCGCTGAAGTTCCCGGTCGTATGTGAGCGCCAGCGACTTGGTCGCTTTCTCGTTGTAAAGGTAGCGGCCGCCAACCCCTTCCAGGGCCGGGGTGACAGCTGCGTACACAGAGGTCCAGGCTCCTTCATCCGGGGTCTATGGGAACAAGAAAAGAGGGTCAGGACATGTCAGCTTTCACGGTAGAGCTCAGGGCCTTGAATCCCAGACCTCACACAGGCGCTGTTGGGTAAGACACAGCACGCCCGCTGCCTGGGGAGACAGACCCATGTGGGAAGCCAGGTGGGGCGGGGGGCAGCCTAGGCCAGCCAGAGCTCCGTGGCTGCTGGGGGTCTCTGCCACACACCCACTGGACCACAGGCCCCTGTGGCTTGATTTCCACATTGGCTGAATCGATTTCAATAGGGCACATGCATATTAAACATCCCTGACGTGAATATTCAATGCTCCAACTGCTGATGAAGTCAAAGGCGTAGTCATTGGCTCAGCCGCAGGTGAATCTGTGTTTCTTAGTGAGGAGATGAAATCTGGCGGAACCACGTACACCTGAGAACCACGTGAAACAGCTCAAGGTATTAGAATTGTTGGAATTAAAGGACCTTTGGGGCTACGTCCTGTCTCCCAAGCCAGGAGAATTCCCTGTTAGCTTCCCATCAGGATAAAGACTTTTGGAGCTGATGGCTTGTAATAAACTTTTGGAAATCCACTCAGTTTTCCCTACCCTTGACCTTTCATGTACCTGTGAAAAAACCTTTCATCATAGGTCGACAGGGGAGATACCCAGGCCATTGGTCACATTTCCTGGATGTGAGCAATGCTCAGTAGGGCGGTAGTGGAAATGCTCATGCGCATTAACAATGTCATCAGGCCAAGGAAAATTAAAAAGACATGTGCACCGTGAAGCGTTCAGTCCAGGGCACCAATGTCAGGCAAAGATGCTGCAATTTTAAGGCATTGTAAGGCAAATGTGTCCCCATCCAACGTGCCACCCGAGCTCTGCAGCGACCTTCCAAAACATTTAACGGCACAGAAATGGGTCATCGTGGAGGCCAGTCCGGGGGAAAGGAGTCTTGAATGTTACCGGGTCCTAGATCAGGGTATCAAGATTCTACTGCTGGGCCACAGAACGCAGAACCTGAGGCCCCCGGGACGGTTCCAGGAGGAGCCGCGGGGTTTACGCAAGAGGCTGGTGTGGGAAAGAGGTGTGATTGGAACCTGCGTGCTCCCGTGTGCTGGGGAAGAAGGACAGGAAGGGGATCTGAGCTGCTCTGGGGACGCCGACCCTGCATTCCCTAGCCGCCACGTGTCCCTTTGTCCTGAGGCATTCCCTGTTTTAAAAAACAGAGGTAGAATTGACCTCCAGCACGGAGCATGCCTAAAGTGAGCCGTGTTGGCTGGACCCATGTAGGTATTGCCAGGGTCTGGTGTGTGGGGGATTTTGGGGGATTTTATCCACTCAGCTTGGCTGCCATTTCCAATGCTAAAAAACGTTGGTGTGATGATTTCCACCCTGCCCCTGATTCCTAACTCTTGTAGGTTCCTTCGTGTGGACCCCGTGGTTTCTCAGAGCTTTGCATGTGTGTTGTTTTCCGATGCAATAAGCAAACAAAAGCCCTCCCTCCCCCCACTAAAAGAGGATTCTTTTATTTCACTAGGAGATGTGTCCTGCCTCTCACCTATTGCAGGTCTGTTTCACCAGGTGAACGTTGATCGTACCCATTATCCTGGTATAGCGGCCAGAGCTCGAGTGTGTCCTGTTTCCACCCCAACTGGGTGTTAGGCGGTTCGATCTGGTGCCGCCTACCCAGAGTTGGCACAGTCGGCACATTTAGGTCCTGGTCCTCTGTAACTGCCCCCACACCAAGGTGCCAGGGTCATCCAACCCCCTTGGGTCTGACGATTTGGGAGAAAGCCTCACAGAACTGGAGGCCCCGATTCCTGTTTTACCAGACAGGACACAGCCTGTGTGCAGAGAGAACAGCCTCGCGTGCTGGCCGCTCACCCCTGGAATGGGTCTGTTTCATGCATCAGGCGTCACACCCACTGAGGGGCCAGGGGTCCATGCCTGGAGCACCCTGCCCTGGTCCTGGGGGTGCAGGGAACAGCCTCCATGCAGACACCCACAGCCGCGGCCTCTCTGGCTCTCCCCACAGGTGGCGGTGTCCACCCCGTCTGGAGGCTGCTTCCTTGGCATTCCCTGGGGCATTAGCGGGGGCTTCCATCTCCCCACATGGCACCTGCCCTCCCATGTGGGCAACAGTCCCGGTGGCATGCAAAGCCAACGGCGACACAAGGATGCCCTTCAGAAGGCACGGCAGTGCCTGCAGCAGGTGGAACATGAGCTTGGGGTGTCCTGGGGGCACAGCACTGAACCCCATCATGCAGAGCATGGCTGGGGAGACAGGGCAATGCAATTTGATGGGATGGTGGCCTTCCTGCAGGGAATACCCCCATGCACAAACCCCCACGCACACACACAGAGCTCCACCCACACCCCTACTCATGTATGCCCCCCACGCACACATGCACACACCCATGACCCACACGCACCCACACACATACCCCCACATGCACTCACATATACCCCACATACACATCCCTACCCACATACTGCCCACAAATATATACACACACACCCATGTACCCCACACACTCACGTGCAAACCCCCTGCACATGCACACACACCTTATGTGCATGTATGCACATGCATAGGCCCCCCCACGTGAAAAACCCCCATGCACACACCCCCATATCCCCATGTGCATACCCACACCCCCACACACATATCTGCACACCCAGATACTCCATGCACATACACAGAGCCCCACGCACACACCCACCCACATACCCCCATGTACACACCTACCCATGCACACACCCCCATGCACAATATACACCCACATGGGTTACACATACTCCCCTACACACACACACACACACACACACACACACGCACACACACATGCACACTCACAACCCCTCCCCAGGCTGGCCCTGACCAGTTCTGCTCACACAGACACAGGCAGGAAAAAGAGTTATTTCTTGGGTGTCATGCATCGTGTGAAGAGTTAATCATGCCCCTTAGCCTACAATTGTGTGTTTAAGTACATGAGAGGGGCTGGGTGTCAAAAAGCGACCACCAATCACCTGCAAGACATTTCAAAGCCTCGGGCTTATAATGAAGAAGAGAAGGAGAGATTGCATTTGTAATCAATTCCTAAGTGTTATGACAGCTCACAAAATAGATGGTTTTACTCATTTATTCTCGATTACCTCCCACGTCACTATCCTAATCATCACCCCTCAGAGGAAGTGCACGTCCCGTCACGAAGGCCAGGGTGTCTAGACAAACATGTGTGATAAGTGTGCAAACACACTCAGCCCCGGAGAACACGGTCGCAGCTTTTGCACGTGACTGTCGGGAGGAATGCATGGAGGCGGGAGTGCAAAGCTCTTGGCAGAGAGAAACAACTGCCATGAGAGCCGCCAGCCAGGACATGCGTGGTGAGTTGCATGTGCCAGGCACTGTGCTGAGCAGTAACATGCCCGTTCTGCAGATGAGGGTCTGAGCGTCGGTGGGGGTCTGGTCACACAGCCGCTGGGGGAGGAGCCGGGGTTCCAACTCAGGACCTTGGGCTTGCCTGGTCAGCACTCTCACTCGGGGGTTGCCTTCTCCCAGATGCGGTTCCGAAGAGGCTGGGGAGTGACTGGGCTTGGAGAGCCTCAGAAGGACCAGCCCTGACCACCCCTGGCTCTCAGGTTCCCGCCTTCAGGACCGGGGACGTGATGGCTACTGTTAGCACCGCCCAGTAGCTGGTATTCTGTCTGGCAGCCTGAGCAGGTGCATTCAGCATACGAATGGTTCCTCCTCTCCAGCTGGGGACGGGCGCCTGGGGAGGGCACCATGGGACAGTGGCGCTGGCAGCTGTGGGCACACCAGGAGAGGGGCCGAGGGCACACACCTCACCCCGGGGACAGGTGGGGACCCCCTCGTCTGCTGCATGGAGGGTCATGGGAGGGAGTCTCGCCTGGCCCACTGGGGCTACCTGGAAGGTTCCCAGATCGTCTGTATTTCCAGTGGGTTCTGTAGCTCTCGGCGGCTGCACTAGGAAACCCTCTTGGCTGTCCACCGTTGGAGGCCTGCATTCCCACGCTCGTTCTGATGGACGGAATCTCCTGAACGCCAAGTGTTTGTGTGGGCGTTTGGTTCCTGCTGGCCAGAATGCATGTGTCCCCCCGAATCCATACATGACAGTCCTGACCTCCAACGGCTGGTTCTAGAAATCAGATCTTTGGGGGGGTGGCTAGGTAGAGGAGGTCATGAAGAGGCCCCCATGATGGGGTTAGCATCCTTACCAGAAGGGACACAGGGGACCATGTTCTCTCCACCCACCGATGACATAGTGGCCATCTGCAAGCCCAGCAGTGAAGCAGGCTCCTTGCGAGACAGTGAATCTGCCACACACGGACCTCGGACTTCCAGCCTCCAGGACGAGGAGACATCAGTGCCTGGTGTTTACAAGCCACCCCATCGGAGGGGTTCTGGGTGGATGGATGCCTGCCCCAAACCGAGCTCTATTTGAATGATGACGTGAGCTAGGTGATCAAAAAAGGGTGGAGGGGAGATGCTCAACATGCTGTTTCTAAATCTCTTTTGAGCTTGAACGCTACAGACAATCATTCTTAGAGAGGAGGGGAAAACGGCTTTGAGGGAAGCTGCAGAGGTAAATGCTCAACACCTGCAGCGCCGGGCAGCTCCAGGACCTGCCCCTACACAGCTCGAGGGAAACCTGTGGACTCCCCGACTCTATCCCCATACACGTCTACAAACAGGCACGGGCACCCAAACCACCCTGGATATTGGAAAGCGCTTTGTGAACGTTGCTGTGTTGCATTTGCATGAGAGCGTCACGGGTCGGGGGGGTGCACACAGTCCCCATCTATGGAGGGGATGATGGAGGGAGACGGACACATGCATGTGTCCAAGACCACAGAGCTGGTACTGCCCGCTGCAGATTCAGAACTGGGAAAGCCCTGTCCATCATGTGGGAGCTGCAAAGCAATGCCCTCCCCTGTTCGATTCGCCGTTCATCCTACTCTCGTTTTCCTAACTGTGCTCTGGCCCTGCTTGTGCGTGTTGGCTTGTTTATGTCCTGCTGCGTGGTATCTCACAGCTGCAGCCATGGGGCAGGGATGCCCAGGTGGGCAGGAGGTTGTAGGTGGGAGACCCCAGGAGCCATGTGTGTGCGAGGCAACCCACACGGCTTGGCGGTGTCCGGGGCCCGCAGATGGCCCTGCCCCTCTCAGCCATTCCTGTTCGTGCCTCTGCGTGTAGTTCTAGTCCCAGGGACTAACTCAACATTTACTGCAGGGGAAGGCACACTGGGGAAAGGGCAGAACTGAGAGGTTTTCCCTCCTCTGACCTCCAACATCCCTTATCTGCGGGGTGAAGATGCACATGCGAAGACCTGTGGTACAGCCCTATGAATAATGTGCCGCCACGCAGGGGCAGCTTATGTGCCGCCTTCTGGCACATTCCCACAGTGATGAGTCTGTTTCCCGCGTGCCCCGCGGTGTCGAATGAGAGTCAGATTTTGCACAGACAGGAATATTGTAAACACTAATTCCTCTGGCATAAGAAACACATCCCATTTTATGTACAGCTTTCTAAAAAAGGACAGTCCTCAGAGATTTGCAGGACAGAAGATGTCTACCATGTGGGTCAGACCAAGAATGGAACATGCGGGCTTTTCTCAGAGGTGGCGGAAGCAGTAAAGAACCAGGGAGGGAGACAGTTTGTAGAATCTACAGTTAATGATTTTCTCTGCATAATGCCAGGTGCCCGGAGCTGGAAGCGGTCAGGGGCACTTCCGTTCTATTCAGTCCAGCAAACGTTGATTCAATGCTCAGCATTATTTGGTTGGCTCCTGGGGCGAAGAAAGACAATTGTGAAAATAACCCCGCCAGCCCGGAGCTTATGCAGGAAGGGGCTGTGGGTCCATGGCTGAGCACAAGGGCATGGAACACAAATGAGTGACATAAATCGAACCCAGGGTGGAATCTGCACTGCACTAAACAGAGCTGCGCGCCATATACAGTTTGAGGGAAACATGAATACCGTATAATTGCATAATTATACAGGGCTTTACAGTTTTGGAAATGCTTTTGCATATATTATGCTAGTGATTTTCACAACAATCTTAGGAGATGTTATTATGTGGAATTAACAAATTATACAAGCGAGGGGCATGGCGGAAGGAGAGGAGAGGGGGTGGGTGTGTCAGGACGGCCAGACCTCAGTCCTGGTAGGGACATCCGCCCTCTCCACCTTCCACCTCAATCTGCCTCCGTACCACGTGCCCATCACCAGCACCTCGAGGTCCACCACCCTCACACCGTCCTCTGGGCACTTCCCGGTGCCCCCCGCCTCTTGGAGAGATGCCACCATTCTCCCCACCTGTCTGAGTCAGAAGCCCCAGAATCGAGTCATTCCTTAGGCACGTCTCACAGTCAACCAGGTCTCCTGACTTCGCGTCTGGACTGGTTTCCAAAAGGATGTCCTTTGCTGCCTTTCACCCCACTGGCCCAGCCTTCAGCTGCCTGCCCTCAAGGGTCCTTCTGCAGCAAAGCCTTCGCCTCCTGCCCCCCAACCCTGGGGAAGATTATGGCGACCATACTTATTTCTGGACTCATGACAATGGCCAAGCATGTGTCACATGCGGCGGTAACCATGAGCGTCCCGGTGGCACTGGAGCCTTTATGGGAACTGCCTGTTATGATGCCCCACAACATGACCCTCACACCTCTATGCCTAGATGGCTGCGTGACATGCCACTGGGGCCATCAGGCGCAGACCCCTGCCCCCTGCCTCCCATGGAATCCCACCTGATTTGAGCTCACCTTTATGATACTCCCGTGAGGTGGGTGCTACCTGCTTTCCAGAGGAGGGAGGTGAACCCAACACATGTAACTAAAGACACAAGAAAACATCCAGAGGACTGAGGGCCCAACAAAGAGGGCGTTGCACCTTCCAGTGGCCACACTAATTAGCCCCAACTCAGTGGCTTAACACAACATGTGTTTATCATCTTAATGTCGGAAAGGGTCAGAAATCTAAAGTGAATCTCACGGGCCATGGTGCAGGAGGAGGCAGGGCTGTGTCCCTTCTGCATGTCCCGGGAGAACCACTTCCATGCTATTTTCGAAGCTTGGAGGCCACCTGCATTCCTGGCTCTGGCCCTTTTGTCCGTCTGCCAAGTCCAGTCTGACTGACCTTCCCCCATCCTCTTCCGAGGACCTCAGGATGGTATCAGCCACGAGGCGTTTCTTGCTAGGGAGGGGAGTGCCCCAGGTGGTAGGTCCATACGGCACAACAGAAGGTCCACGGGGGTGTGCCGCTCGGGCGTCTGTTTGTGCAGCGTGCTTGAAAGCCAGACAAAAGAGACGGTGAGGATACTGAGGTGGGGGGCACCGAGGGCTGGACCTTGAATGGATTCATTCATCCTGTCATCCTCTAGGCACATTAGTCCAAAACCGATCACTCAAATGATGCATCTTTGTTGGACCTCATGCCTGGTCTGATTCAAATGCCCGTTGAGAGGACCAACACCCCCAGTCACTTGTTTTACGGTGACACGGGTACAGTCTACAGCATAAATGGGATCATTTTCAAAGGGAGACCGGGTAAGGTGACTTTATAAGAGGTTTCCGTGTGTTGGGTACGAGGCCTGCACGGGGGCCAGATGCTTTTTCATGGTGCCCGCTGACCTTGAGGAGACGGGGGACGGTGCAGGGGTGACATCGCAGTGCAGTGGCCCCAGGCCCTGGGAGATGCATGCCCCCTGCACGGGCACTGGCTTCGATTTAGGAAGCTGCAAAGGGCTTCCTGCGGGGCTGAACGGCATGCAACCTGTCTGAAAAGGTTCGTCCACATAAGCACCGGGTCTGACAGAGCGAAGATGTGTGGCATGGCTTTGGTGGCCTCATGAAAAGAACATGCTAAACCCCTCATCTTTATAAAGGTGTGAGTTTCCCGTGCGTTTTAAGGGACTAACGAGGTTGCTTACAGCGGTGGTTCTTAATCTGGAATCAAGTCCAGCTTCTCTGATGAGTTGGAGAATAGAGGCTTTAGAGAGACGTAAAATATGCCACGAGATGACGTGAAGGGACACAGATGACTCACGCAGAGGCCCCCCCAGGGACCAAAAGCACATCCTTGCCTACATAAACTGTGCACGCACACACACATGCACACAGAAAAGTGCACACATCCCCAATCATCATTTCCCCCCCAGGGACCAAAAGCACATCCTTGCCTACATAAACTGTGCACGCACACACACATGCACACAGAAAAGTGCACACATCCCCAATCATCATTACAAAGATGACACTATAGCTGACAGCTGTCTTACACGCCTTTTTCAATGTTTTAAGTTTTCCCATCAATGTTACTTCACTGCCACAGTCACCATTTTCTATTACTTACTTTTAATGTGCCCATAATTTCCTCTTACATAAAAAGGCGCCACACCTTTTTAATCCAAATGCAGACGATGAAGACAAGATTTTTTTCTTTTAATGATTCCTCTTGTTAAAGTTGCGCCATCCTTTATGATTAATAGAGACCAAAGGGCCCACACTGTCTTGGGGATACAAAACACATCCCTGGGGATTCATGGCAGAGGACAGCGAGGACATGAATGTTTGTTGTTTACCATCCCTGGCTTCTGGGTGGGTAACTGCCAGAGGAACTTCAGATGCCAAAGGCGACGTCAAAATCCCTTTGCTTGAAGAATTAGGGAATAAAGAGGAATTTGCAAACGAAGACAACTGAAAAGTCAGGGAGCTAATTAAGCTGTAAAAGGGACCCGGGGGCAGCTGACTTCATTAGAGGCTGTCAGATGGAGGCAAGCTGGCTGACCCCGAGGAGAGGTCCTGATCCGTGCTCATTCATGGACCATGCTCAGGACACGGAGCATTATCCAAGCAGAAAGCTGTCAAAACTGACAGGGGAGGAGGTAGAAATCCTCAGAAAAGCAAAGAGCATTAAAGGACATTTCAAAAGCTGAGTCAGAATGATTTTTGAGAATGCTCCCCACCTGGGGACGTTGCCCAAGTCCATCGTTAAAGTTTTGAAGTGCACCTACTTTTCATGGTCATTAGGCTATATTGGAGCATAAGAGGAAAACAGTGCTGTCAATTCTCTCTTTTATTTTTCTAACACTCCATCAAAACCTTAGTATCCAAATTTAAGAGCGCAGAGAAAGGGAATGTAGCACTCTGCTCGGGGATGAATATCAACCCGCAAGCGCTCTGTGCCGGGGTGGCGAAGGGGACTGTGCAGTGCATTACAGCATAACAGGAGTCATTCTAGAAACACATGCCATGCACCCTAGGGAACGTAGGGAGCCGAGCTACCCCAATAAGGGGTTCAAGGCAGCAAAAATATAAGCACCTGTCTAGATCAGAGTCAGCACCCTTTTTCTGGAATGGGTCAGAGAGAAAATCCTTTTGCAGTAAATACAGAGGAGAAGCCACGTGGATGGAGGTAGAGATGGAAGGGACGCGGTCACAAGCCCAGAGCTGCCCAGACGCTGCACACGTGATGGGGAAAAACCATCAGGGCAGAGTCAGGGATGCTTAGAAAATCCAGTGCAACAGGGTGGCCTTGATGGAGCATGACAGGGAATTCAGGACACCCAGGGCTCCCGTCGGGATTTAAGGAGGGGCGATCGTGTTCATTCGGGGTCGGCAGACCCGGACACACTTGCAGATGTGCACGTCCAAGTTTAAACAAACACCAGGTGTATCAGGCCCTGCCCACATCACCTGGATGAAGTCTGGGTGGGGCTGTAACAGGGGAAAAACACCAGAGGGGACATTTCCCGACATGACACCCACCCAGAAGCCAGGGATGGTAAACAACAAACATACATGACAATCCCTGGAGAGATGCCACAATAAAAAGGTTTTACATCCTGTAAGTCATCTGTAAGACCCTCAATGACACGAAATAACAGGGGAAAATACATAACATGAGGCAAAACGCTAGTACCCCGAAAACACAGGAAGTTTGAGGGACCAGCACCTTTCCATAGATACGTGACCAGACGACACGGATACTTCATGTCAAGAAACAACACAGATATGCAATAAATGCAAATGTAAATGTGACCCTCTATGGCGCAGAAAGAAAACAGAACATTAGCAGTGAAGTGCTGAGGAGTTCTGGGCGGTCGATTTTAAACGTGCATCTTCTCTGGATAAACAATCTTCCTTTGAAGAGTCGGCCCTAGAGAATCACAGAAACACCCATGTGGACGGATAGGGAGATGGTGTCACGTCTGTGCCTCCAGTATTTCCATCAGGAGTAATGACAGGGGTGTTATTTAGACCAAATCTGGTTACTTGGGGATTGAATATATGTCAGGGATTTTTTTTTTTTTTTTTTTAGCTGTGTTACTGATGGAGAGAGCCCGGTGTTGATTTTTCTTATGATTATTGCACTTAGGGGAAAATCAGACAATGATGTCATGTACAAAGGTGGACGTCGAATAAAGAAACAGATACACCTCCTGGTGGGTCATGAGCCCTCACTGTGTTTGCACAGGTGCTAAGTGGGAAGCAAGAACACGGAACCAAACCTGAGGTATCTAACTGGGTGTTTGGGGTGTGCTGTCGTTCCTCATTCCCAAGTTGTGCCTAATTTGCGCTGTCTCTGGGGACAGGTGCACCGACCACAATGTTGTGAGCTGCTGGCCCTTGTCCCCCGTGTCACCAACCCCTTGCAATGGACCCCACATCTCTGCAAAGCCTGTGCCATCCTCCAGGGCACCGTGGGGAGTGGGCCGCTGGGGTTCCCCTTCCAACACCCAGGTAGCAGGGACACCTGGACTGTGGAAGCCCAACCTAGAGAATGTCTCTTCCTTGATGAAACCACATTCCTAAATCCATCAGTCTCTGATGCACCCACTCCTGTCTCACCCAGGGCTTTGGTGGTGGCAGAAAGGTCATTACTGTGCTCAGCCTGGGATTTATTTTTTCTAGAAATAAACATGCAGAATGCAGAAACGGAGCTGGGCTTCTGGTCTCAGCTATCAGGGACCCTGGGGCGGGGGTCACCGCCCTGAGTGAAAGCACACATCACCGTCTCTGGAACCAGCCCAGCCCTTCCGTGGTCCCTGCAGCAAACGGCACGCAGGTGGCATGGAGGTGGCCATCGAGCAGCCGCGAATCGCAGGAGGCTTACCTTGAAAAGCCACCAGTGAAACAGCTTCTTGAGCAGCCGTGTGCCCCAGAAGAGATGCTTGTAGAGGTCCGTGTCCACCACGCCGGGGTCAACTACGTTGGCGGTGACGTGGCTGCCCTGGGCCGCCAGCAGGTGCTGCAGCCGGTAGGTGAACAGGACAAGGGCCAACTTGCTCTGGGCGTAGGCGCCGTGCGGAGAGTACGAGGTGCTGTGGGTTTAGAGCGACATGCGTGCTGAATGAATGCGCCCAGCGGCACACACAGCTCCCAGACGGGACCCAGCCCGCCCCCACCCACCACGGCTCTGTGGGACCCAGACACCTGCCCAGGTGAGGGACCCAGCTTCTCCCTCCAGCGTCCTCTCATGCTTCATTAGCCAACAGAGATTGAGCCCAACACCGTGGGGCCCAGGGGAGGCACAGCCCCAGGCCCGCCACCCTCACACTGGCCATGTTCCCCCGCAGGGCTTGGGAGGCAAACACCCTCTCCTATAATGTCGCTGAGGTGCATCCTACCCTCATCGCAAACCACACGAGGGATGGTCCAGCCACACGCGGCATAAACACTGTTTCTGCTGCAGGTAAAGTCGGCCTCTCCAACTGTGGATGGGACACCTACAGAGGCCCGTCAACTCCACTGTGTTCCTTGAGTTCGGACTTTCCATGTGTTGCTGAATTTTTTTTTTTCCACCTTTGAATTTTTAATGCTTGGGGAAGAGGGGCAGATGTCTTCTGCTTGGATGCTGGATGCTTGGAAGCTTGTCTCTTGTCAAGTTTTGTTCCCCTAACGTGAGATGATTTTACAGGGTACGCACATCCTGAGAACCGGGTACCATGTCATCTGTCTTCATGTGACAGTCCCTTTCTGCCTCGTAGGAGCGCCTTTTGCATTCATGTATCTGATTCTGCTGCAGATTGCTCGGTACAATGTCCCCGGCACCCTAGGCACCCTGACACAGTCAAGCTCAAGGAGACCTTTCTCACATATCGTGCACCACAGCAACAGTCAAACACATCCAGGAATTCAGAAAGCGATTGTGCAACCATCGCATTGGATGCAGAAAAAACTCCGGCTGACCTTTGATGCGTCTTCCCGAGCAAGGCTCTTATGAAATCAGAAAAAACCATCGAGATCGATGAACTAAACTTGGATTGAATGATTGAAAAGAGGAAATGTTACCAAGGGAAGCATTTAAAAAGAAAAAAAAACTAGGAAATGAGAGGCGGACTATTTAAATAAGAACCTAGGACAGGCCGATGTCCAGAAGGAAAGCCCAATATTGGTTCTTGAAAGCCTCTCTCCTCTCGAACGTTTCCGTGTTCCGTTACACGTTGCACCATCCATTTAACCTTTCCAGACAACCAATGTAAAATGAGAAGGCATCAGAGCACACCATAAAATGCAGAAAAGTAAAAATGCGAGAGGCCCTGTGGGTGAACAAATACATGTGCTGATAAAACACCCGAACCCAAGTGATCCTACAGCCCTATTCCCCTATAACACCGGTAAAATTCAAATAAATCAGCATTTCCTGGGTTGAAGAATATGAGGGTAGTCGGCCAGATGTCAGGAGGAAGGGTATGTGCCCATGAGGCCGATGGATGCATCCTCTCCTATCAGCCACACGACGCGGATCTGAAATCTTTACCTCGCTGTCGATCTTTGAACTTAGCAGGGTTTGAAATTTATCCTGAGCAAACAGTAAGAATTTGTTTTGAAAAGTCTCTTCTGCTTAGTCATTGAAAATGCTGAATGAGTAAGAAAAATAACAAGTGATTTAAATATCAGCATTAGACGTACGTCAGAAAAGGGCCGAAAGGCGACACAACACCCATTTTATATGATGTCTGCAGAATTTAGGGTTTAGGGACTGGTTTCCTTCTCCAAGCAGGGGAAATTCGGCTTCTGTAGGGTGCTGGGTGCAGGTGGGCCCGTCCCTGACGGAGGACAGACAAATGTTTCCGCAATCCTAGGGTCAGGGCGACTTCCCCTGCTCCCCATTTCACTTAGAAGGTAAAAACTTAGCAGAGGTTCCAGCTCTGAAAGCTTGTGACAAGTGGGGCTCCTGTCTTCAGAGGACATATTTTTTGAAGGCTATTGGGTTTTTAAATTTTTAAACAGCAAAGTAGTATGCAGTCAGGTGTCTAGTAAATACACAGAAACCCACATTGGAGCTGTCATCAAGTTTTGAGGCTTATAAGGGTGTTAGCTTCACTTCCTATCAATATGTTGCATCTGTATCCTTTAAATTTCAATTCTGAGACATTCGTGACGTGTGTTAGAGCAGTTTTAGGTTCACAGCAAAGTGCAGAAGAAGGTACAGAGATTCCCATGGACCTCCTACCCTGTGACACACATGCACAGCCTCCCCATGGACCCCCTACCCCGCGACACACATGCACAGCCTCCCCCACAGTCAGCATCCCCACCAGATGGGACACTCGGTACATAGATGAACCTACGTGAACATGTCATCACCCCCCAGAGTCCATAGTCTCCATTAGGGTCACCATTAGGGTCCCTCTGGGTCTTGAACATTCTACGGGTTTGGACACATGTATAATGACATGAGTCCGCCATTAGGGCGTCACACGGAATATCTCACTGCCTGACACATGCTCTGGGTTCCACCTGTCCGTCCCTCCCTTCCCCAGCCGCTGGCCACCGCTGACCTTTCCCTGGCCCCATAGTTGTGCCTTTTCAGCATGTCAGAGAGCTGAAATCACACAGTAGGTGCGATTCTTTCACTTCGTGATATGTGTTTAAGGCTACTCCCTGTCTTTCTGTGGCTTGACATCTTATTTCTTTTTAGCCCTGAGTAACACCCCATTGCCTGGACGGACCCTGCTTTATTTATCCATCACCTGCTAAAGGGCGACCTGGTTGCTTCCTAGTTTTGGCAACAATGCATAAAGCCACTGTGAAGAGCCGCGTGCAGGTTGGCTGTGGACCTAGGCTTTCAGCTCCTCTGGGTAAACACCAAGGAGCGTGACTGCTGGGAGTGTGTTCAGTTTTGGAAGAAAACGCCAAACTGCGTTGCCAAGTGGCTGCACAGGTTTGCATTCCCACCAGCAAGGACAGGCGGTCCTGTGGGTCCACATCACGCCATTTCTAAATCACACACGTGACTCCTGCCTGTAGGTAAGTGACAAGCACAGGGACCCCTCAGGGACTCAGTCCCACCTCCTGCCATTCGCTGGGCAGTCTCTTTTTTTCTCATCAAAACATCCCCCAGGTGTGGTCATCCTGCACCTGTTTGTCAGGTCCAGGCCATGTGCAAAATCTGAGGTTTGGCCTGGTTTCCATCCAGTGTATCTTGAAAAACAGGACCCAGGCCCTCTGCCCTGGAGGTGAGTAGCATGATGTCAGCAGAGGGTGAAACCAGACGGGCATGCCTGGGAGCCTGGGAGCATTTCCCCAAAGAATCCCAAGCATACCTTTTTTTTTGGAGAGAGCAATTCAGGCAACAGCACAGGGCAGTTCAGAGCTCAAATTCCCTCCCCTGATAGAAGTCCTGACCCCCCCCACTATCACCAAGATTCTTGTTTTCAGCAAATTTCTTCTGTCTCCTCCCCACAGGAAAGGGTAAAAGGCTCCAGGAAAGAGGGAGCTGTTAAGTGGAGGTACATAAACACTCGGCTTTCACGTTGGCATAGGGCCACGTCAACATCCATGCAAGCGTCTGATTCCAAATTACTAGGGTTGTTTGGGACGGAGCCATAAACATGCAAATTTCTTAAGAGTAAACGGATCAGTTATATAATTATGGTTTCGTATTGTAACACGGAGAGGAAACAATGAAGATTCTCTAAAAATACTATGTGGGAAAACGTTAACACATTTCTCTACGGGAGCAATTAGAAAAGAGTTCAAGAGTACAGGTAATTTCAGGAGACATTTCCTGGTGGATTTAGGGATAAATGTCCACACCCTACACGGAAAACAACCATAGCAAATACATGAGAGAGAGAAGGATGCCCCACTGGAGACAATGAAGAGACGGTTTGGATGTTAACAGCAAAGACAGGAAGAAAAACAGAAGCACAACAGGAGGTAAAAGAAATTCATGAACCGTCTGTCTAGCGTGGCTCTAAATGTGAGATTTTTAATTGGTCGCTTTTTACTAACCACTACGAAAAGGTAAAACCAAAACCTTAAAAGACATTTTCATTTTCAATCAAAAACTTAATGATTTAACTACTTAAAGAATAATTCAACCGTCAATCTGAAACAAAAATAGAGACACTACCATGGTAGCTTTTTGTAGGGGAAGAAAACCTTTTCTCCTCAACTTTTGTGTTCTGTCCCGGAGGGCTGCAAATTAAACTGACAAAGGCCAGATTAACAGGGCAAAATCATGTAAATTTTTCAAAAAATTTTACACATATGAGTAGCTTTGTAGAAAATAACTGAATACCCTGAAGAGATGATTAGACTCTAGGGCATGTATAGCATTTAATAAAGTTGTAAAAAGGTAACCTATGTAAACAAATAGAAAATGAGGATTGTTTATTAAAATTTGTGTGTGCAAACTCATCTCAGTGACAACGCTCCACCTTCCCCATGGCCATACAATCTGCCAGAGACAGGAGTCACGGCCATCCTCATTTCTCGGTATTTTCTTTTCGTCAGAAAAGGGAACCTTTGGAAAGGCATCTTTCTGAATCTGCTGGGCTCTCATGGCCTCCAGCTCCAAATAATGTTTATGCCAAAGTGGAGTATTTTGGAGTGGCATAATCTCATGCCCACCACTTTCTTTGCCTTTCAGACCTAAGAGAGATGAAGTGTGGTATTTTGAATGCATTATGTGCATCTTCTGTGTAACAAATCAGAGTCAATAAACGTCACAAGGGTTCTTGGTTAAAAACCTCAGAGGACATTACCCAGAGAAGGGACATCCCATCCTACGTTGCAGTGAGGTCGTGTCTGGTGGGAAGTGGGCACTGGGTTTCTTGAAGCCTGCGTTCCACAAAACAGCCGGTGGTGTTTCCTAGACTGAGGTCAGCTGCACAGTGGAACTGGTCCGTGAGAGTCCCCTCCTGGCAGCATGCCGGGAATGTAGCAGATCATTACCTTCCAGCTCAGCAAATGAGTTTTCCAAGTTCTCCTCAAAGAAATAATTACTAATAAACATGGCTGTAAATGCGTATCCACTCACTTCTATTTTAAAGAGATATCTATGGAAGGCTTACATTTTAACAGAGTATTGTTGGTGGGAAAATCTTTTTCCTTCTACCTTTTTAGGTTCTGTGACTGGAGCCTGCAAATCAAACTGAAAGCGGACACATTAACAACAGAAAAACCGATTTTGACTATGTTCATTGACACGAGTCCAAAAAAGGAAAATGTGGCTCAAGGAGGCAGTCAGGTCACTGAGGTTTACACACCATCTTAGGCTCAAGAAAGGAAAAGGGGTTTGGGGGCTTCTAGGTGGGGTACATAAGTTATGGGGAAGTGAAGGGAGGAAATATATGGTGCAAAAATATTATCTTACTAGGCAGGTAAGAGTCTTCAGGGCGGTAAAAGTTGTCTCTGGGAGTAGCTCTCTTCCTGGGATGGACATACATTTACCAATGGAAAACTCCTTCATAAATGCAAATTTTCTTTACAAAAAACGGAAATTTATATTCTATTTTTAGACAGAAGAGCTTTTCCTTCAGTGCTGGTACTCAACTTCCTTCAGCTCAAAATAAGCCAGACACCAGAGATGCACATTTTGGGGTAACAAACTTTGGTGCCCTTCCAGAAGATCAGATGCATACATGAAGAGGACATTTTAAAGATAATATTTTTCTCATTATTAAAAAGCACATACATACTGGTTGTATAAAAAAGAATTGCACATAAGTAAGCACTCCTCGGCCCGGGACAGCCTTGTAACTTTGCAACCATGAGCAATGTCATTGCTCCTGAGGATGGGAGCCAGGACTTGGGGGATTGCTGGCTCTGAGCCCAAAGAGAGCAGACCGGATGACTGCACTTCCTTGTTCTCCCAGGGCGTCTAAGTAAACAGGCGTGTGCATTACGAGGAGAGGGTGCTATGATCATTAG